CCGACAATTCACGAAGGTTCGAGAATGACGTGGCGTGATACTAGTCACGTGACCTCGATGTCGTAACAATACATTACCTTTGGACTTGCAAAGGCTTGTGCTAAATTTATCTTTAGGAATTCATAAATCATCAGATAGCAACAAGCCAGAAGTCTTCATTTAGATTGTCCCATTTTTAAGTGTTTAAAATTTAACTATTCATAATCTATTATTTAAATTTTTGATATTAAAATATCTTGACTAGATTTCTAAATTTTAATAAGGTAATATTTGGATAACAATGAGTTAATATTCTGTTTATTTAATCTTGTTAACAATGTGTTAACAATTATTATGTGTTCTGATTCTGTTAACATTAGTTAATGTTTACTAGTTTTGAACCTGTTTATAGTATAAAGGCTTGAATAATCTTCGGATAATACTTTACCAAATTCTGTGTTGAAAACTTGACTTTTCATATATACAAGTTGACAACTTTTGCAAGTTAGTTTAACATAAATATTTGTTATTTTACAGGACAAATCTTTTGTGAAGATTTTATATATAATCACGTGCCTCCTATATTTGCTGGTATGGAACAGATTGTGTATTTTTTACCTAATTCAAGGCCAGTACCTGCTACTGTTGTACAGGGAGTTTAATACTCAGAAGAGATATCTTATAATTAACTTGAAACGTTAGGGTTGTTGCACCTCATATTCAGTTGCAGTAACCCAATTATGAAGAAAAAACAACCTATAAATGTAGTTTCTGAATCTCAAAGAATGTATTGCTCAGGAGAACTTATTTAAAGTTGCAATCATATCGATTGGAAAAAAAAAGTATATCAGATTGTGTTGTATAATAATTTCTGAATTGTAAAATTTTGACTAAACCTCATGTAGTAAAACTTGGCTTAACATATGCTATTTTGTGATTTCCTGTACCTATGTTAATTACACATACAATGACTTGGAATTTTTCAGTAACTTGAATTTTTAACTGAAACACACACAAAAAAGACCTCTGCCTCAAGTAATGCTTGCAAAGTTTTTATATGCAAGAACATCTATTTCATCTCATCTTAATAAAAAAACTTACCCTAAAACATGCACCTTCCAAAGTAAACCGTTTGGCAACATTTTAGTAAAAACATTAAGCTATAGCATTTGTTTTTCCAACACAGTAAAGATCCTGGTTGAACTTATGTAAACTTAAAATTATGTTTGTAATTTTTTTCTAATAAGTCATCCGTTTTTTGTTATTTCTTCATCTGGCTTCATTATTAATCATACAGGTAAAACCTGAAAAAGAAGCTACTATATTTAATCTTAAACCCACGACGATGAAAGATTGTTCTAATTTACAAATACATTAAAAAAATTATCATACTAATTCAATTATAACATAGAAAAGATTGATTGAAAGATTTGGTAGCCATAGCAGATGGAATACATGCATGAAGAACTTGGGTGAGGATTCACATTTTGATACACATTTCTTGATGGTAAAGTTTATATCCAAGTTATAGTCAGTAACTGTATATCAAAATACATCATTTTCTTAAAATTATTTTTGGTATGTAATAGCTATTCAATGTTCTATTTGAATAGTTTTAATTACACAAAACTTTTTTGAGGATGTCTTTATTTAAAAATGTATCATTGCATTTGCCCTATTAAGAAAGGTATATTTTTTAAAATGACAGCATTTGAGTTTGAATTTTCATGTAATTAGGGTATCACTCTGCTTTCTATGACCAGAATGTTTTTACGGTTTTCTGAACCAGTCTAATTGTTTCTCTCTTTATCACACCTCTTGCCTGAATTTGAATAAAACGTATGTGGTTCAGATCTTGAGCAATTATGGTGTACCTTTGTATTTTCTTTTTAAAGGTTAAGATGGAGCAGCACAGAATCTGAAACATCTTGTGGGTGTGGAACAAATTCTATATCTTCAAAAATCATAAATTTATCTGTTAAGTTCATTAAAACACTTACAGTTTTAAAAAGGTTTTGGTTAGTGGGTAATGACTTAGCTTGGATAACATAAGAGGCTGCATACAGCCTGCAGTTGTTTAGAAATGTTAGTTCAAAGTACCATCTTCAAAATACCAATTGGGGAAGAAACTAATTAGGTTATTCAAAGTGAATTATCTTATGTTTTTTATTTTGTTTTTCACTTTAAGGAGAAGACTGCACAAATTTCCTCGTGAAAACACCGTGTTTGATATTTGTAAATATGACTGGTAGTTATTGCTGACTGCACAAATATGATATTTCACATAACATCAAGCTTTCTCACTAACCATCACAAAGGTCCATCTAAAATATCTTTTATGAAACCCTCTTATTATTAACAAACTAGTGGAAAACAATTACATAGTGGAAACTTAAGTACCCATCACATTTAGTCAAAGAATTTTATATAAATTAAATGATAAAAATTAATAGCAACACCAAGCAAATTTAAATTTACATAAAACTAAAATTAGGTTATAAAAATGCTTATTCACACTTTCATGCAGTTGTACTACCACAAATGCAAGCTGTGGAGCCACAGGTAACTTATATATTTAATTATGGTAAATTCCTGACATTCAAGAGTACAATCCTATCAGATGTTGACTTATGAATAGAATAATGAATAATTCACAGCCCTTTTTATAGAAGTATATTCTTGTAGCACGACTGTTAAATGATGTAGAGTCAAAGCACACAACATTTTGAAGAAATGAGTCTTCAATGTTCTCTGCATAAATTTAAAAGCAGAGTTAGGTTAGTAATGGGTCGAAAACCCCACTCCTCATGCAGTTCCACTGGACTTTTTACTTTTGGTCTGCTTAAACATGGTCTTGGAAGCCACCATCCATATAAACAGAGAATATGTAGAAAGCTTGTCAAAATGTGTGGTTTAAAGTTAATTTTGCCTCACAGAAATGTGTTACAATAGAAATTTTGATATCAGACTGAACATGCAATGATGGAGAAAGTATATCCATGTGCAACAGAAGACCTAGAACAATGTTCCTAAAAAGTGAAATTCATTCTCAGTGTAATTTATTCTTGTACTTTTTCAAGAGTCAACCACATGTAAAACAACCTCGACCTAATTTTAAATGTTTCTAAGCAATATATATTTTGTTATACATTTCAGTGGCACCAAACCTTCTTTAATTGAACTAAACCAGTCGTGTACATTAATAATTCATTGTATGCAATAACTGCAACTTTATTTACAGATTTCAAATACTTTATAATTACAGAATCTACTTTTTCTACATATTCAAATGTAACATACACAGTATATACAGAGCCTTTGGACACTTTGTAGACAAATGTGAATATGACCTATCTCATTTGTAGAAAAAAACATAAAAACATTGCATTTACTTAATATACTCATTCTACACTAATGAAAGAGATGTGATTCAATAATGCAAATTGCCAAAGAAAAAAAAAATATATATAGCATTATTAACCCCCTTCTTTTTCTCTTTTTTACAAATGGAATTTTTTACCCTATTTTCTCGAATAAAAAAGTTCAAAAGGTTGGAATATGGGAGAAAAAAAATGGGTTAATTTTAATAGTACTAAATATTCAATGTGACCACTATCACATTCGGCAATAGCACATACTCTAACACAGAATATTACAATAACTCCAGCTTGGATGTTGCTCCGAAGTTCTCTTAAAAGTTTTGGGTTTTTCAGTATATGCTTAAAATGTGAAACTCAATGGAAAATATTATACAACTGAATTCATATTAATACATACTATAATACTTCAATATTTTTGTCATGTTGTTAAGTGCAATTAAAAAATGGTACAATTTTAAAATTTGTGAAAGCAACCGTAAAATTCTTCATTACAACTAATTTTCTACATATCTCCATCTTTCAAAATGCAATGTGCAACTGAATAAAACTGCTCTTTCAACAGTGGTTAAATCATTACGTATCACTAGTCTTTCAACATGGCTTATAGCATACTTCATTATCAAACCTCAATTCTGAAATAAGTTGGTTAATCAGTATTTCCATTAGCTCAACATCACCAGTACAAAAATAAACACGATAAACTATAAATAATTACAATAACAAAGTTAGTTTAGGTTTTAGTTTCAGTTGGCTTCTTTTAATCTTCACTCTTGTGTAAAACTTAAACAGATTCATAACATATTTTTTGAAGTACTCACATCGTTAGTTTACAAGAAATAAAGTTCACTTCAGATGGAGATTTTAGAATTCTTATGAAACTGTATATTTTGGTGTTCTACTGTAAATATTTCCATAAAAAGAAAATGATTGGTACTTTCCTCACATTTTCAGGAATGAATTTAAAACATTGATCTTAAAAGTGACTTTCACTTCCTGATTATAATAAAGCTTACTTAAAAAGAAAATGCATCAATTCTTTTTAAATTAAATTAGTGTAGAATTACTTTTTTCTGTAATTTAATCACATTTTAAGGATTAGGACCTGAACTAGATTAGATTTTGTTTGATATCAGAAAGTGGTTACATCAAAAAATGCTGAGGAAGTTTAACACATTTCACATTTATGTTTTTGAATATTTAAATTTCAAAACTTTTTCAGAAATCCTAATAACTAAAGAAAAAAAAAGGTTAAAAGCCAAGCTAGGGATTACTCACTTTTTAAAGACTTAGAGATTTCAAAATGACTATCTATATGTATATATATACACACACACACACACACAGTAGAACCTCGACATTATGGGCACCCTTTCCAACTGCGTCCAAAAGCCCTCTATAGCAAGGTGCTCTTAATATAAAAAATGAGCCATGCAAAGCTAGATTACATATTGACTGTACTAAATTTCTGAATTTTAAGCCATTTTTGTTACATGTATGTAAACAGTGTTTTTGTGTATACTGTAAAAACACTAAATACAAGGAACAAAGAAATTTTTTTAAAAATTTATTTCTATTCCATAAGAATGATAATAAATGTACATGTAAAAAAGTTACCATGCAATTGTACATCACACACATTAGGTCATTAGCACAAATCGTGTATAACAAACTTAATACTCTTATTCTTTACATCATTGGTTACGTGTTTACTTTGTAAGTCTTTATTAGATGACTGTTTGTCACATTTACACTGGTGGTGTTGCAACTGACCCTCAAGAGTCATCACAGTGTCTAAAACATAAAAGAATAAATAACAAATACTTTAAAAAACAAAGATTTTGAGTACTTAGTGTTATGAGTAATAGTAAAGTTGTTTAATAAAATTTTGAAAATAACTCTCTAAAAGGTCATGAAATGTGCACTTCAACCTGTCTGCAGTGAATGGATTAACTGCTCGCTTAATCGAGTGCCCATATAGAGAACAAGACTAAAGACACTGTCTTTAATCCAGAATATCGAGGTGCCCATTATTTCAAGATTTATTTTGGTTACCAATAGTAGAAAAAAGAAAGATTGAAAAGGTCTGTCTTTAATGGTGCAGTGCCTGTTAATCAAGGTTCTACTGTACATATTAACATTTTTGTTTGAGGTTTACTCAAATATATATATATATATATATATATATATATATATAAAGTTAGTTATTAGTATAAGTTATTACTGTTTTTTAAACTTCTAAGTTATTAGTTTTCTATCCTCAAGTACTTAAGTCTCTTTTATAATTAAATAAAATGTTGGTTGATTTTTTATGATCATTATTTTCATAGACTTAGCTAGATATACAAAAATTCTAGAATTTGTGCAAGAAAGCACAGCAGTGAGACTTGGTGGTTAACATTAAAGAAAGCCAAGACACTTGTTCACCTATATCTACACAAACTACCCGACATATTAAAAGTATGTACAGAATACTCGTGACAGCCCTCAGAATAAAAATAATATACAAAAATTACACTTATTACTTTTCTAAACACATTATGGAGATACAAACCATTACAATTTTCAACGCTCAACATCCAAATTCATTGTACTCGGACTTTTCTCAATAACTAAATAGATCAGGCCAGACTCCTCCCAGCAACTATGTCTTTCTCAAGAACCAATCAAATTAGAGCTGACCTTTTTAACAGTCAATCAAAATAATTCTGCCTGTTTCTAAACAATCAAACAAATCAACAATACTTTTTTTTTTCAAAATTAACCATGGGCTCTCCTCAAAGAAGCTTCACAATTAGCATGTACAGTTTATTTTGTATATAACAAATAATAATAATTAAAACAATATTTATTAAAGAATGCTTAAAGGTTTCATGGAAACTTTTTTATGCCACTAATAAAGAAACGTATTACTACCCACGGAGAGTAGTAATTTATGCTGTCAAAATTTAAAATTTTCAAAACAAATTATTTGGTCAAAAAAAAAGTTACCACAATTTTTGGTCTAACACTAAATAACATTGAAGTTTTCGTAAATATTAAATTAAAGCCTGTTGAAACTCTATTACAAGAATGAAAAGTAGAATTTACCCTCAAAATAAAACAACAAAACAATAGTATTATGCCCTCCCCCCACTACAATCAATAAGCTGTTAAAGTAGGCACTTAGTTGTATGAATTATATTAAATAAATAAATTCTGAGCATTTATCAAAAATATTTATATTAACAGAACCTTGGCTTAATTTTATGACTAAACCTCTAAAACTAAATAGTTTTTAGTGTATCAAATATTGTAATATATGTATTTCCAATTAAACAGGATATGTATAACAGTAATATCTACAAGGTGATTAAAGAAAATCCCATACAACAAATGATTATACCCTGAAAATTACATGTTCTAGGAAAACTAAATTTCACTAAAGACACATTGAGAATAACAAGTTTTACTGAGGAAAGTTTAGACATAGTAAGCAGTATATCAAAAACTTTTACATAAGGAGTGCTTTCTGTCATTCTCAATCATCATGTCAAGCCTATCCTTAAAAGAAGCGACTGAAAACATCATCTGTTCTGAACAGTGTTCATTTATCCCCCAAATATGCTTTACACTACACACATTACCAATAGAAACAGAGAGAAAAAAAACAATGGTAATGTACAAGAAAAGTATATTATGGTTTTGAAATGCAATGAATCACATTCATACTTTCTGGAATGAAACTTGTGATTCTTCATGTGCCTCTTGGAGAAGTTCTGTTTGACTAGCACAAGCAATTTTTAAGGTATAATAATTTCAAAGATGGGTTTTCTTTACAACAACTATGCAGTTATTAATATTTTGATCATTCAAATTAAGTAAATCACATATACATATAAAAAGTACATATATCTAACTTGGATTGTTTTCATAAAACTACGAACATTACGAGAATAGTTAACAAATAAAGATATACCAACCATGTTTGTAAACTGTTTAAAATCAATAAAGTTATTATAAATACAGAAACTAATATCATCTTTCATGCTTTTATTATTAAAAGTTAGGAAAATGAGAAACACCAATAGTAAATTGATAATTCTTAAAATAAGGGTGTACTAAAATATTTTTTGTACTGATTACAATTTCCAATCACATAAAATTAGTTCTATTTAATATCCAAAAATCATGAATATTATGATCAATGTTTCTAATGTAGTAATAATTAAATTCAACAAGCTTTTGTTTATAAGGATGTATGACTGTTTTATAAGTTTTACTGAACAAATAATAGACCTTAATTTGACTAATCATAGCTTGAGAAGTATATACAAATATAGTTATTCTGAAAATGAGACAGGCTGATAAATAAATTTTTTAGAAGCTATAGTTATATAGTCACAACTTGTACACCTAATTCATCAATAATCAGAATCATCAGTGGAATTCAGCTTTATCTGCTAGTGTTATAATAAATCAATTGTGAAGAGTTAAATTTACTTTTAATCCTAAAGTGCCAGCATGGGGTCATTATGACACCATACAAGTTAAACTGCTGGCAGTCTAGGGTTAAATTAATAAAAAGACAAATCTAAAGGTTAATTCTTGAAACTAGTTCTTTTTTATTTTGTACTTTATAATAAAAATAAAGTATTTCCAACTGAGAAAAATCTAGTGGATGAAATTAATTTCATATTAATACAAGTTTTTCTATTAGTTAAATAAGATATTTTCTGAGATTTTAGCAATTTAACAAGTTTTGTTAATTAGTCTTCTACAATTTCTAACTCTCCAGTATTAATATGCCTAGTAGAACCTGAACAATCATTATCAATTCACAATGTAAATTATCTGTATCATTAATTTCCAAATTATTAAGCAAAATAAGCTGTATATTATAAATCAATAATCTGACATGACTTCTGAATGGTTGCAAGGATTTAACTGGAATTTATTTTTCTTCACATATGTATATGTATCTTCACATACAGAATAGGTCAAAACAAAGCTAACAATATTTTTCTTTCAGTGATACTTCCCCATAAAATGGAGGATGCAGCAGATTTTGAAAGTCATAAACTCTATATAATACATTTTTTAACACTTGAGACATTTTAAAATTTGTGTCTAACCACTAAATATCTTGTTTTTTGGAAAAATTCTCTTGAAGCACAAGAAATGTTTGTCTTACTATTAAATATTTCCTTTTGGGACATCAATTGCATAACACTTGAACCTTTTGTTCTCAGGATATGTGCAAAGTGTGTGATACATATCCTGTCCCACTCACTTGTTAGAAAAAATTACAATGTTAAATGAAAATTTGTTTAATTTTAATCATACTTGAAGAACTTTTCATGTTCCTGGAGTTACCACAATCACATCAACTATGTTCAAGGTGGGAACTAGCTTTAAAAAGATGTTAGTTAAGTAAAAGTAAACTATAAAGGATAATATTACTTCTGTGCTACAGTGTATAATTGTACAGACATGCATGCTCTAATGTTACAAGCAAACTAAATAAATATACTTTGAATCAAGTTCTGTAACTATATACAGTCAGGAAAGTGTTGATAAAGGGTAGATCAACTTGGATTTGCATAATTTTAAACAAGTCACTGCTGATTACTCTCTCATCTTGTACATTTCCTCTTCCCTCTAACTTAGCTGTTTTACCTATACACACTCAACCACAACAAACATGTTAAACAAAATTTGATTAATATCAAAGTTTTTACACAGTAAATTTTTTCAATTTGGTAACTAACACATTAAAGATAAACTACTTTTCCCATTTGCTCAAACAAATTATTTTTTTTACTATTACTTACTTTAAGGTTATCTGCAGTTATTTCATAACTTGTTTACATTGTTTAACTATATTTCAGATATATAGCAATAATTTCTTTAATTTGTCTGCACTGTTAAATGTTATTTCATGGTAATAGCAATGATAAATTTGACTGCATTGTCCAAATGAAATATCAATTTCCTCATTTTAGTAACAGTTACACTACTACATTTAAAACTTAATGAAAAAATAAATAAAAGAAGCTATTTCTAAATAAGAAATAAGAAAATTTTTAAAAATGAACTTCATATATGATATTCAGATTTTCCGGTAAAAATTTGTAAATAAAATGTCAAAAATCATATGGTACTTTGTGCTTTACTTTTTCACTTTTGGAACTAGCACTTTTTATATATTTAGGGAAATCCCTTAGGGCCTAATTACTTTTCTGCTACCATCAAAATACAATTTCTGAAGTACACAGAAAACTAATGAAACTTGTATCTTGTAAGCAAGCTGAGATAACCCTTCAACACACACCTTCCCTTCTCAAACTATGTCAAGCTGGGTATTGGTTCATAACTATGCTTCCTGTTCTACCTCAAGCTGGGTATTCTTCATAATTATGCTTCCTGTTCTACCTCAAGCTGGGTATTGGTTCATAACTATGCTTCCTGTTCTACCTCAAGCTGGGTATTGGTTCATAACTATGCTTCCTGTTCTACCTCAAGCTGGGTATTGGTTTGTAACTATGCTTCCTGTTCTACCTCAAGCTGGGTATTGGTTTGTAACTATGCTTCCTGTTCTACCTCAAACTGGGTATTGGTTTGTAACTATGCTTCTTATTCTACTTCTAGTATGGAAATGGTCCATACCTATACTTCCTGTTCTATTTCACAAGGGAAATGGTCCACAACTATACTTCCTATTCTACTTCAAGCTGCCAAATGGTCTATAACTCTGCATTCTATTAATTAGAGAACATCAGAAAGAATTTTTTTTATACTTTCTTATATTATTAGTTTTCAATTACTTTCAACAATTTTTACATCTTTGGAAAATGTTATGCTGAAGCAAATGTATTAAAACTTCCCACGTATGATTGTAACTAAAAATTTGTGGAAAAAGAATGAATACAGCCTGAAGAAATGCTTAAACATAAGATTAATAAAACTGAAAGGTAAATAAACACAAACATACATTTTCTGTAAGATTTAAGAATTTTTAATACTGTGTTATTGGTTAGTAAGCACAGAGAAATACAATAAGTTCATAGTTATTCAACAAGAAATACAATGCAGGTTCTTTTCATTCTGTTTAACAAAAAATACAAATATGTGGCTCTGCACAGGTCACAGTGAAACCAAAATGCAATTATTGCTCGAATGAGCATACTGAAAAAATAAATACTCATGTTGCTATATATTAGATGAAACTTTCTGAATAATAATATATTTCTCAGTGTATCAGTTGTTCGTTTTTCAAACTAACACTTTAGGTAGTAGTTATAGAAGACTGGTAAAGTTACCATAAAGAAACTTTTTTCATACATTTAGAAAATATTAGATAAACATCACATAAAAAACTTGAAAGCCCAGATGCATGAAACATACTATTTTTAAGGCCATATAAATGTATATTACACAATGTGATACATGTTGTGTAAAATACAATAGGTATTTTCAATAAAAATAAGTAGATAAAAATAAGTACATAGAACAAAATGCTGAAAACCATATACCAATTTGTATTCAAATTGTTTCAGTTTGTTTCAAATATTCATGCAAGCTATGCAAGGGCTATCTACACTAGTTGTTTCTAATTTTGAACTGATAGACCAGTGGGAAAACAGCTAGTCCAAAGTACTTACCACCAACTTTTGGGCTAGTTTAATCAAATAGTGAGATTTGACTGCTACTCTTATAACATATCTACAGCCCTAAAGTGAGGATCACAATTTTGTGTTAATGAGACAAACTTTGGACCCTTGGAATCACAAACTGGCACACTAACCACTAGGCCATGCCCATCCCTTTATGTAAATAGATAACAATTTGAGTTAAATGTTATTTCTGGTGCAATACAATAAAGCTCAGGTAGTTCACTAAGACAATGCTTAATTTAAAGTTAGCAGAAAATTGTCCTTTTCTGACACAGAAGTCAGTTCTTCGCACCATAAAGAAAACCAGGTTGATAACATATACACATAACACACATTATATTTTCAAATCTAAAACTAAATCCATTAATGCATAACATACTTTCTAATACTTAGCCATATAAGACTGCATAAATGCTTCTTTACATAAAATCAAGAATAAGTCATGTGTCTAACACTAATCAAAAGAACTCAACTATAACAAATTAAGACTCTGTCCATGCAACAGATTACTATTATTCACATCAAGTTAGATTTAGTTTTACATAAAATCCTTTGATGTTCCAGATGAGAATGTTTAGTACTTTCCACATTGGAGGCAGTGACCAAGTGACAATTCAAGGCCAAGGCTCAGAAGAAATGAAATACAGTTTGCCATTTTAGGTGCAGATTCTCTTGTTATGCCAAGAAAGGAAACAACTATCATCCAACCTTCTGTACACAACTACACTGGAGGTCCTTGTCAAACTGATTCATCTAGAATATGATACATAAGCACTTTATGTCACTTCTCCAAACATAACACACAACTTTAGATGAACTGAAAACTGTGACAGGTGGAACTTAACCTGGAGAGATGCTTGTCTACCAGTTCTAAATGTACTGTATTGTTTTTCATTTTATTTGAGAGTAAGAGAGAATAGTAGTACTTTTCATCTACACAGTTGGTTTATGATGCTCTGAACCCATTTATTGCCATTTTCATTGGAAGTATGAAATAAAGTTTTCAAATGTTTTTAACAAATATATTTGGTATATGAACACCACAAGTCTTAGTTTTCATTTCATTGATTAGTAAAATAATGATTTCAAAACATATCCAATACACATAGTATATCCTTAGCTTCTGGACAAATGTCACACAAATTGTAATGAAGGAAAAACATTCAACAAGAAAAATTACAAGAATAATTTGTAAAGAAGTATATTATAAAATATCAGAAAGCATTCTGCATATAACTGTGACTTCAATAAATCTGGTGTATTTAAATAAATTATTAGCAAAATACATATCCAAACTTCACATTCTAATGTATATTTTTTATTATACAAGTTTATATATTCTAAGCCCAAAGGGGAAGATGGGGTATACTGTCAGCCCAAGGGCATACCATCTTTACAATGTTTGGCTCAGTTTTTAACCAAATGTTATTTATGTTTGCTAAAAGATAATCACACTTTATAAAAACAATGTTCCAGTTCTTGTATAACCTATAAAACTACTACTTCCATCATGAATCTGATGACCATGATTACATATTACTGCACCACGTTGTAATACTCACAGTAACAAACTTCTGAAAAAAAAAGTGAGGTTAATTTTGAGAAACTTTCCATAGGTCCTTCACTATACTTGGATGTTGTCACCCAAAATTTTCTAAAGCAGACCAAAGAAACAAAAGCCCAACTGCATCAAGGGACTTCATGGATATGTGGTTAAATAGGACTGCCGTTTCTAATTTCTGTAACCATCTTTCTTGAGAACCTTCATCAACTCCAAATCTTTGTTTATTATCTTGTTAAGTATATTATGGCCAGTGAATACCTTTCAGATGTCATGCTCACAGCTGCATGTAATATTTCAAGGTTTAAGTAAAAATATAATTCTAACATTGTTTTCCAGAAATCTTGAAATAAAAATACTTTAACGTTTTTCAAAACAGTCTCACAACAAAATTTTTGAATTTTCACAGGCTCAAAAATTATAGAAATACTATATCAAATTTTATGTACTTTTTTAAAGCAACAGCTAGATATTACTTAGAAAGCTTGTATTAAATTGTATGTAATTTGATCACATATTTACAAAGAGAGGAGGAAAAAGTCAGGGATATCAGTTACATCCCTCCAATTCAAAAATGATTAATGGGACTAGGAAATATGTCTAGTTTCATTACAATGGTCTTTTGTGTTGAAGAATACTTTTTGTAACAATAGCTTTCACTTTGAAACTGATTTCATTTGTCTTGATTGGCTTGGTCTGTTTTCAGTCTGTTGATGTATTATGTCTTAAATGTTATGCTGTGAGTTTTTCTTTGTTTCCTCAGAGAACAATGAAGGATCCTTACTTTAAAATGATGAATATTTTAGCTCTACAGAGTTTAATAAATCTACTATACAAGTACCCACATACAGTGACATAATCTTTCTGCTGAGAGATATCCATAGCAGTATTGCTACATGTTGCCCATGTTGACTTCACTTGAAGCTGTGGTAACTCACTATTGCTTTAGCATAAGCAAATTGTTATTATAAGGTGCAACTAATTCTTTGTACTGTTCTTCTAGTGATGTTGGCTCATAAGGAAGCCAATGTGTGTTGAGTTATAGTGTATAAGACTCAAGCAGGAGCTTTGTTTTATAGAGGATCAGGATTTGTCCTAACAGCTGAAAGTGTCTAGGAGTTACAAACACAAGTTAACGTGTAGCAGAAGAGTTTGGAAAGAAGAGGCTCAAAAATGAATGCCAGAAAAACAGAAGTCATGGTAAGCTGAAGGAGTTATAGCTGTAAACAGGAAGCCAGTGGAACAGTTAGAAGATGTTACGTACTTTGGAAGTACAATCCAAAGTTAGGGAGGAAGTGAAAAAGCCGTGAGAAGTAGAATCCAGGTGGGCTGGAAAAAATTTTAGGGAGTAGCCACAGTCATCTGTGACAAAAATTACCAAAGGCACTGAAAGCCAAAGTGTATAAATATCATGTTTAGACTGGTGCTCCTCTATGGAGCCAAGACCAGAACCCTGAAGAAGAAAAAAAGGCTTGCTGATAAGAACAGAAATAAAAATGCTAAGATGGCTGTTGAGAGTGTTGCTGAAAGAGGAGAAAGAATAAAGAAATGAAGTAAATGGCAGGAGTCTGTGGAATTGAGGAGAAGACAACAGAAGTGAGGCTAAGGTGGTTCAGCCATGTGAAGAGAAGAAGAATAAGCGATAAGGAAAGTATTAGAGATGCCTGTAGACTGCAAGAGAATACAAGGAAGGCCAGTTAAGCATTGGAAAGATGGGATTAAAAAGATATAAACAAGAAAGGATTTGTAGAAGACCTGGCAATGAACATAGATGATTGGAGGAGAGCAATATGTGTGAAGGACAGTGACCCCTGTTAATTGGGAAAACTGAAGATGATGATAGAGAATGGGTCAGGATTTTAGTTTTCAGTTAGGTTCTTGAACCTTGCTAGCTCATTTGGTGGAGAATTAATCTAAAAAACCTTTCAAAATCTGGTTGTTCTGGGTTAAAGTTCCATCAGGCAGATTAACTATTATCATGATTCAAAAAATTTTTAATTTACACTTGGGTACTTATGAGATATTTAGTCTCACTTACCATGATACCACCATCTAGTTTTCTTTGGGTTCTTGCTACAAGTTTTTACATAAAGAGAGTTATCTGGTGGTCGTTTCTGTAAGATGGAAAGTTAACTCTTAATAGTCTGCTTCTAATTCTATATCACTACATCAACATGATGATAAAAAACAGACAATATGCAATATCATTACATTAACACAATAACAAACAAGATATGATGTAAAACACTCAATCAACACAATGATAAGCAATACTTTACATTCCATCAACATGACAATAAAAAGACTTCTAATATTACACTGGATCAACATGGTAATAAGAAACAATTCCTAACCTTTTCTTTACAACTAGATAGCATGGAGACAATGCTTAAACAGACAGACTGTACAGAGAGTGCAGGTGACCAGTCTTCAGTGAGGATGGACAGGCAAATATGTCCATTACTGTACACATGTGGATGGACAGGAATATTGGGACCAATAAAGGTTACCTAAAAACAAAGAGAAATTACAAGATGGAACCTTGTGTATGAAAGCACATTACGCTAATACAATAGTAAATTGATAAACAATGGCTTATAAGCATAATGGTTTGATTTTGTGGAACATACTACATGTTTAGAAAGAAACCACTTCACTAGGATTATAAATCATTGTTTTTCAATTTACTATTAAGATGAGACATTTTATGAATTGATTTCTAAGTTTATTTAAGATATCAAAACAATATGAATGTAATGTTGTAAAGAACAAATTAAATGTTTTTAAAAGATAGAAGATAACATTTTGCTTACCTGAAAATGTATTTCCAATAGATACTTTCCTCTCTGCAAACTGTAGTTATTCCTCATCCACCTGCCTTTGAACATGTCACTAACCTTGAACTATCTCCCACCTAGACATGTGTTGTTTTGATATGAACCACATTAGTGCATAATGTAATCAACACGCAACAATAGCCCTCAACCAATAGAAGGGTGACATCTTCTTTGCACATTTGACCCCCCATGAGCAAATTAACTTCATTCTTAGATGAAGCAAGAATAATGACTACCAGTAGTGAGAAGGAAAGGTGTGCAGATAGTTAAGTATATATCTAAAATACATTTTTGGGTAAGGAAAATGTTCACTTTCAAAATGATTCACTTATCTTTCAACACAAAATAGCCAGATTCCCACATTGATGTGGTGGAAGGGCTGGTGCAATCACGAAAACCTAGATGAGCTCTCTTCTGAGAAGGCAACAGAAAAGGAAAGCCCATACATTGTGACACCCTATAGTGGGGGCTTACTACAGAGGCAACACTTCACCCAGATGAAAATATGAACGGAGGAATGCAAAATGAGTCCAAGTATCACAAGAATTGGTGGAAAAAGACATGACCAACCAAGCTCTTCCACACAACAGGTCAGATGGGCAAAAGGTGTAGTATGGCTAGGGCAACTATCAGATCATACAGATTGGTATGTACACGGTTGTACCATTTAGTCAAAATAGAGAACACTTAGCCCCATCTTGATGGTCAAAACCACCAGGAAATTGGCATATTATATAATAGGGGTGTCCTGCACTACAATGACATGGATGCACCTTCCATACTTATCACTACATTGTGCTGCCCACTTGGACTCTCTGTCTAGAAGAATCTCACAACTGGTGAGGAACTCTCCAAATCAACTGTCCCAGCAGTTCGGAAATGGGAATAACAAAGGTCTCCTGTGATTCACTTAAAGACTGGGGGAGGAATTCACATTGGAGACACTGAAGAGGTGCCAGAACCTGATTGGACCTAACCACTGCAAAGTTCTTTTACCAGAGAAAGTGCAATGGGTTACTGTGAAACCTAATTTGGAAAGCTGGTATGTACGAGCCAATGAAGCAGACAGTTACTCCGCTGGTGCTGACTTTTTCCACAATAGTCTACAGAAGGTATCATTGTAGTGATCTTACAGAAAACACCCATCTCAACAATGGACACTTTTGGAATCAGAGCAAATAGATTTACACTTCCCATTATCCCTTACTTGATGCAGATTTAGGGATGTAAGTATAATTATACCAGCAACCAGATGGGTTCCAAAGGTTCCAGAACATTAATGTGGAAGGTACGTTCTACAAGAGACCAAACCCCTGTGGCCATGGACTCATTCACTGATGTGTCTCAGTCAGTAAAAGATGCAGCAGTGAAGAAATGGATATCTGGATGTGGGATGCTGTGGGACCAAATATGGAGTTGGTGTCAGGAACAACTTGGAAAACTTCACCAATCAACCATCCCAGATAGACAACCTATTGGAGGAGAAGTGATGTGGCTGAGAAGAGGTCTCCCAAGAAGCAATAAGTAGGAGCCAATCATCTATAAAACAATAATACAATCAAAGTTCAAGACAATGGAAGTGGCAAACAAACACTCCCATGATTTGGTTGAAGACATAAGGAGATGAAACTATGCTGAAGGGGGAGAGCTTAAAACTGGTACACCTGATCTTGGTGAACAAAGAAAAGGAAATGTCAGAAGGATTGGGCAATCAAAATATGTAGAAAGGCATCTGAGATCTTGTTCATCTATCATCTGGTAGAAATGAACCAACGAAGAGGAAAATACCCTCCACCTTGAAATGAGGAACCACCAGAAAGTGGTTGAGAGAAGAAAAGTCAATGATGGGAAGCCAATCCCCAGTCTTTTTGGGGACAACAAAAAGACAAGAGCAAAACCCTGATGAGCAGCAAGTGACCCTCTTGATGGCTCTCATGTCCAAAAGATCCAATACTACAGCCAAGAAGATGCTGAGGATTGGAAGGAGCAAAAGGAACAGGAAAAATGGACAGAGAAAGAGACAAGAAAGGCTATGTGAGAGAGAATAAATGATCCACCAGTCACAAGCATCCAGAGGACTGTAAACAGAAATAGACATGCCTCCATGGGACCTGAGCTGAGAGGATACAATGGGAGGAAGTGACCAGCAGTATGTGTAATGGTCAACCTGATAGAGGGTGGGGTCAATTAGAAGGGGTAAAGGGGTGAGAAACTGAGAAAGAGAGGTGGAGGGCTCATGGGGTCAAGGAACAGGAGTGGACTCACAAGGGCAGCCTTGGACAGAGGGTCACAACACCCAAAACAGGTAAAAGATAGTCCATGGATTGGAATCCAAGAATGGAAAAGGGGAATGGCCATAAGCCATGACGGAGGAATCCTGGAGTCAAAGATGATGAGGTAGTTGTGAGTGGGAACAAAATTGATCTAGAAACGTGTCAACATGAATATGTGTATCTAGAAAAGGAGGAAAAAACAAATAATCCTCAGCATAAGCCACATTGTAAGAAAGGGGAAAAACAAAAAAAAACATGAGAAAGGTGAAAGTATAGAATAAACCTGGGTAACCAAATCTACAAAGAGATCTGTAGGAGTTATATTTTCTTCAACAGATAAAGAGGAGCCTAGTGCAAACCCAGGAAGTGGAAATAGCTGATCAATGTCGTCATCCTCGTGGCTGGGTTCAGAAAGAGGAGAAAGCGCTTCTGATATAGGGACAGGGACATGAGGCAAGAAAGGCAGTAATAGTGTGGCCATTATTTGCAAATAAAATTTTAGGTTAAAAATCATACAGTTCTCACCCCTAATTTTGTTCCAATATAAAAAGAAACATTAAATAACAAACTTCATCCATTTTATACCATATCTAGAGGTTGCTCAATGAGGTTTAAGCTCTAGACTGCAGTGGCCTGGTACTATATAAACTATATGATATAAAAACATTTGTTATGTATTATAAATGATTTATTTAAATTATATTATTATCTTACTGCATGTACAATAGTATTATTACATAATTATATGATTTTGGTGTGGTTAGTCATATCTGCATTGTTAATGTTTCCTTCTTGCTGTTAGGAATGATTCTTTTATGATGATGCACAACTTGAAGGAGGAATTATTTCTGTTCTTCTTTCATTCTTTGTTATGATGACATTATACATCTCAATAAGGACCACATCCCTTTTAACATTGCCATTTATCATATTCAAATGTGAAATTTTAGTAAAATAACTTGCCTAAAGTTTCAGTGTTATGAATATAACATTCAGAAATTGTGGAGTTTACAGTAACTGTACAGGAAACAGCTAGTGAGCTCCTACTGTGATTTACAGTAACTGTACAGGAAACAGCTAGTGAGCTCCTACTGTGATTTACAGTAACTCTACAGAAAATAGCTAGTGGGCTCCTACTATGACTTATTACTTTTGACATGAGAATTACAGCAATAAAACCATAAAGTTTAAAGAAACGGTTGTGATAAAACTTTTAATATTCATTTAAGAGGCTACAAAAGTTATGTAAATTAAGATGCAATCAACTTTCACTTAAAATGACTCAATAAAGGCTTCAGAAATTCACAGATAAATCTCTAGTAAAAATACCTGATTTTTTGTGTACAACAGCCTTGCAATGTTTATTAAAAGCTTGCAAAATTTCATGAAGACACAAATAGTAAATTCAGAATTATAGTAAATACTAGTATGTATAGCCTTACAGATATAGGATTGGTCAATTTCACCAAGCCTGTGAACAGATGGTTAATTACAAATACTGCTGCTAGGTAAAGTTTTTTTCTTTGTGCAATTTTTGTTTTCATAAATATGTGTATGTTTATCAGGTGAAAAAGAATTAAGAGTGAACAGGTATTCACAATGATTGTTTCACTGTGTGTGGTGACAGTAAAACAATTAGTAATTGGCCATTGTGACTAGTAATGGTTTTTCCTAGCAGAAAGGCTGGTATAATATTCAAAAATTATTAATATTTAAATTCCATAAACTGACCACCACTATATAAATCATCTTGTATTCACAATGATTGTTTCACTGTGTATGGTGACAGTAAAACAATTAGTAATTGGCCACTGTGACTAGTAATGGTTTTTCCTAGCAGAAAGGCTGGTATAATATTCAAAAATTGTTAATATTTAAATTCCATAAACTGACCACCACTATATAAATCATCTTTGAAAAAAAGTTTTAAAATTCATATAAGATAGTTAAAAATGACATATCACTATAAGTACATACAATCCCAGTTCACAAATTAAACTATCATTCTACTACTAAAAGAGATGTCATAGCTTATTATAACCAATTACATCCATTCATTATTTCTTTATGGCCTCAAATTTCAAAACAGTTCCAGTTTTCTGAAATTCCAAAACCTTATTTTACTTGTGTGTATTTTTCCATCACTTCTCAACTACAACTTTATAAGTAGTTAGATACACGTAATTTATCAGAAATATGGGTGGGGGAGATGCACCTACACAAACAATGCTAAACAACTTACTTCAGGAGAATCAAATGGATACTTGTGACTAAACTTGAACATCAGCTGGAATTTTTCTCCTTCATAAAGAGTACCAGTAGCTCCTTCCATGTCCACTATCCACCTGGTGGAATAAAAACAATTTAGTGCTATCTAAGTGAAATATCTCACTATAAGAAATTTAAAAATTAAACATTTATCATGATAAAAACCATGGCTCAGGCTTACCAAGATTCTCCAAATATGGACCAACGAACACATGATTTGAACACAATCATCCAGTTGATGGGTAACTGACTGCCCAACCATTAATGAGTATTTTGTCAATGGTATGCTTACAGATAAATAAATCTACCAGTATCAGGTTTGTTTATATATATACATAATAGAAACCAAAAACAGATACAAGTTCTAATATTTCATTATTGAACTGCAATTTTAAACTGGTAAACTTTAGGAAGTTTGAAGAGGAGTACTGTTTCTTCATGGTGGTACAAAATTCAATCTCATATGTGGTTAATATCACACTTTTCTAAGCTAAAACAAAGGTTATATACAGGTATTCCATACACTTGACAATGACTGTGTAAAATTTATTCAAACTTTTACACTCGGAAGTTATCTGTGTTAAGAACTTGTGTTAGGTGTTAATTTACTGGAAATTGTAAGTCTGGAAATAGTATACAATAATGCTTTTGAGGGAAAAAAAACAAGGTTGCTCTTTAACAAAGTTTGTGATTTTTGACATACAAGTGAAAACTGAAAAATAAAAATCTGTATAAATTTCTACAAAAAGGGTCAATAAATCTGCTTCTCATCTAGAAAAATACTTTTTAGTTTTGCAAGGAAACATTAAACCTAGCCTACCCCTTTCATTTCAGAGAAATCTAAATAATAATGAAATGACACAACCTGTTATTAGCTGGAACAAACATACACGTTATTTGACTCAAATGATATAACCAAGACAATATCACAGCAACAGTGGGTATTTCTCCTCCAGGCAAAAACTACACCAGTTAATACTGCTTTCACTGACTCCAAAGTCTTGCAGTCTTTTTTATAATCTTGGTCCTGGAATTTGTAAGGACTGTTCATTGAATACTGTATAGCATGTTCTTAACTGGTATATGCAATTTCTCATTTTTCTCTGTCCAATAGCACTGTGGTGATTTCCTTCCTGGTATAAAAGTTCCCAAACTCTTCAGAGGTTTTGAATCGTTCCATTTCAGGTTGGGTCTACTTAATTGCAAGAAATTAAACTACATTTACTAAAGAAAAGTGTTTTTGTTCTCAGCTTTGAATTTAACTGAGCTATCTGAAAATTTGATGCACTCCTTGAAATATAAGCTTGAAGCTAGTTTTGGGATAAATATGGTGTTGTGTACCCTTAGCAGTTAAGGATAATTTAAATATCTGCTCTGGGTTTTAAACAGCCCGTGAACTTGGTGGAGCTGGTTTGATAGCACATTGTGCAATGAGGTCACGAACTGCTTCCGACAGATGATGGCATATCGAGGGATCCCGAGAAGAAAGAAAGGTAACTGAAACACTGGATAAGGGAGGAAGGGAGAGAAAGGGGATAATGTATCTATCTGAAATCACTCTGTGGACGCAGACATTGGCAAGGTCCTCACCGATAAACAAAATTCAAGAGATGAGCCTCCAATGGGCCCAAACTCACCACATAGTCACCAGTACTGTTGGTAGATCGTGCATCGTCGAGAAAATAGTAGAATTGTAGCATACCCGAGAGGATGGGACAGGAAAAGGTTGGGGAACATGAACCAGTGCCATGCTCGGCCCCGATTGAGAAAAACAAGCTACCAAGTTATGAAGGGTAGAATGTTGATAGGCTGAGGCCACCCATGACTCCAAAGACTCAGAAACTGAGTCAAACACATAAAACCGCAAACAATGCACCATGTGGAAGTCCCTCAGATAAGAAGATTGGAAACATATCTGTGCCAAAACCGTGTCATGGCCATAGAGATCCCAACAACAAACAAATCATGATTGAAATGCGAGAGCCAAAGACAACAAACAAACCAATGTAGAAGTAAGGATGGAGAGGATTTCAGCAGAAAACCCTCAGGGTTCCTGAAGTAATGCTTTAATAAAAATATTAACTCCACAACTGTGAAGTATAGTAAATAAAGTTAAGAAAAATAAAAAAATGAAAAAACAAACCACTAAAAGTTATCTGACAATGGAAGAAAGAATGTCTGAACTCAACAGCTGCCAAACAAGTGATAGTTTGGTATTGGTGCTGAGAGGGAGTCACGTGATAGTAATGCTCTCCTATTGGTGAAGAGATGACACATGATGATTTGCATGAGAGACGTGTTGGAGCTTTGGATTCCAACAGAGGGATGATGAAGTCTTGTGGCATGTGTTTTTGAAAAAGTTTACATACAGGGGCAGCACAAAATGAGATAAGCTAATCTTGACGTTGTGAGAGGAGGGAGAATACCTTATCGGTAAAAAGGGTAACTTTTTTTTTTTTTTTGTGGTTATGAAGTTGTTCAATTTGACAAACCAACTCTGTATAGAGTTAGGACAGAGAAAATAACAGATAAAATACAGTTTTATTGAAAAAGAATGTTTGAAATTTATTTAGGTTTTAGAAATTAAGCAAATAAAATTTGGGAATTTTCAAATGATGAAAGTACTTTTAATCTTAACATCAAAACCACTTTGCATTCAGAGCAGTCAACACTTTGACTCCATATATTCATGGAGAAATGTTTGGTGAAAATACTTTATTAAAAATTCTGATTTTTCATGTACAAGTGACTTAATGAGTACTGAGATATTGTGAAATTTCGTAAAGATACACAAACCATATTAGAAGTTATAGTATGGAAACTATAAAGGTCAGTTTGGGGTTATGAACTCAGTCAATTTGACAAAGCCAATTGTGACAGTTAATAGAAATACTTTATCAAAAAATCTGCTTTTTGTATACAGCACTTATAATATTTACTAAAAGCTTGCTAAAATTTGTGAAGTTAACATTTTCCAACACTGAAAATGTATTTTCATTTAATACCTCCATACCTCACATGTAGCTTTCTCAATTCAGTGCTGCCCTGTATATGCAAACATTTTTGCTCACCATTAGCCTTAAAGCTTCCACCTAATCACACGTTCTTACGTGATACTGCTGCACTGTTGCATGCAAATGAGTGTGTGACAATCCTAAACCAATAGGAGTATAACTGTCATAATGTAAAAGATTGTTTGGTTTAAATATTATTGATTAATTTATATTTGTGAGTGAATACTTTAGTATTTTTAAATTTTATTATAATAAGAGTTAAAAGCAGACAATTGTAGAAGGTTTTGTTAATAACTAATTGGTGTCGAGAATATAGAAAGTGGCCAGATGACTATGCAATACATATAAATAGCAGACAGACAATAGACAGATAATAGCAGAAGATAATATAGCTTTGTGAAGTTAAGTACCGTAGATGTGCTAGGCCTAACGACTGACATAGGCCTAATGTTTAATATGTTACAGTGAAACTAACAGTGTAAAAAAGATAAGAAGGATAATTTTATTCTGTCAAAGCATGTTAATTCCACTACTGTATATTTTATTTGTTAATGATACAAACTTCCCCGAACTCACTGAAACCTATGCATCACAGTATGCTGATGACATAGCCCTCTGGTACACTTCTCGTGACCCACAACAGCCAAAAAAGTACAGCTCTTACTCGATCACATAACTACATGGTGTAATGCCTGATGCATTCTACACAATCCTTTAAAAACACAAGCCACAGTATTCAGAAAAATGTTCAAAAGAAAGGGAAAAAGTTAAACAAGTCAAGCTCACCCTCTATAATGCTTAAATCAAGTATACTGACTCAATTAAATTCTTAAGTACAACCTTCACCAACAGATTCACATGGAATGCACATTTTAAGCAAATCATTAAGAAAATAAATCAAAGAGTAAAGTATCTAAAGAAAATATGTGGCTATTCAAAAGGTTGCAATGCTCAAACCATATTATTAACTTACAAAATGTACATCAGACCAGTCGCTGAATATGGTAATACCATTACATGCAACATTTTCAACAACTTATATAAATCATTAAAAACAGCATAATCAGAATTTCGTACCACCCTTCCAGTCTACACACCAGGCACATATTTTCATGATATCAGCATATTAGAGACACCTAAAGAAAGATTTTTAGATCTAGCCACAGCCTATTACAAGAAAACCAAACATTGTAATTCTCTATTCAGCAATATCAAAAATTCGAATCATGGAACAAACACGTATCCCCCTTCAACATAATTCAAACACTCACTAATGCAAGTCAGCCACCTTGAGCATTTACCTTTTCCTAAACCCACCTTTTCAGGTTTCCAACCAGGTAAGGACTAAAACAAAACTTTATATAGTGCACATATAAGATATAAAACTTCAAGTTGCAGTTGCAAGAAAGTAGGTTTTGAACATAGTACAGCATGAAATACATGCAAATGGTTCAGCTGTGAAAATTCTGTGCACCCACAGATCAATGATGAATAAAAACTAAAACATTACAAAAACAATTCAAGATCAACTTGATTGTTACCAACATAATGATGTGTCTAGACTGTAACTTTCATGTGCAGTTATGTCATACAGTTTTGCAAATACATTACTTAGTCTCTGTTTATTTCCTTAAAAGTGTTTATGCAATAGTGGCCTAGTATATATATATATATATATATGTATGAAAAAACAAATATTTCTTTTTGTTATTGCTCAAATGACCTCATTCTTGCCTCATACTGGCCAAAATCCTATTTTTAAAGGTTTATTTCTTAAATCTTTTCACATCATTCAAAAGACAAATGCATTAGCTTTGCAATAACATATAGATTATAGTTTTGCAGCCATTATTTCTCTTTCTGTACTAAATTAACTGACCCAAATTCCCCTACTCGTTACGATGTAGGAGGTTACAGGGCCACATATAGACATAATTTCTACACAAAGGCAAGAGAGGATTTTTATCAGGTATGTTCAGCATCAGTGTTTTTAGCTAAGCATAAAGCAATGCAATAGGCTATCTGTGCTGTGTATTGAAACCCAGTTTTTAGCATTATAAGCC